ATTCTCTTTAACTGTTTAAGCATATTTGTATCGTAATTTCAAACGTAGAATGTCTTTTTGGCAAAAATTTAGTCATGATTTGTAAGAATTTTTTCGAAGACTAGGAACCGTTAAATGACAAGAACCGAACCGTTAAGAACGGTTCGGTTCCTTATCGGTTCTATAAAATAATTTATAAGAACCGAACCGTTAGTAAAATTTCATATTTTCAAACGGTTCCACATATTTGGCCTAGGAACCGAACCGGTCCCAGGCCTACTTTTTTTTGTTAGTATTATACTTTTCTTGAATAATACTCCCTCCCTCCCTCAAAACTTTGTCATATTTTCTTTTTGGGAGATCCCAAAAAACTTTGTCACTTTCCCTTTTAATCAATGATTTTGTGGTTTCAGCTATTTCTCTCTCCTCTGCACAAATCTCAACCACATAGTTTTCACTTTGTTATTCTCCATGCCGGTCAATTTTGACAAAGTTTTAAGGGACGGAGGTAGTATAATAATATAATAATACGTACGTTTGTGTATAATACCATACAATTATATAAAATATATAGGTTTCATTCGTTCGTGAAACGGAAAATGACACAGACGTGTTTTAAACGTTTCATAGTTCAAAAATATGACATATAATATGTGTCTTAGGATGTTTTTATTAGACTGTAATCTGTCCCAGACTAGACCAAATCAGACCAAACCAGATCAGACTTGGATAATTATAAAATTACAAAGAGACCAGACATTACCAGATCAGATCAGGCCAGACTAGACCAGCAAATTACAGTCCAAGTAAAAACATCCTTATATACCACTTTAAAGAGTAATTTAACATATGCACCACATTCTTCAACCATTTAAAATGTACGAAATAGTTTTGTAATCAATCTTCGAACTGTTACATTTTATTTCTCCAATGGGAACTTTTAAACTAGTCATAAATACTTGTTGAATTAAAAGTACGTACACGGTACACGTGGAGGAGAACTCTAAATTGTACGGTAGAACCGGACACGTGGTGGTGCATTGAATGTGTCCTCTCTCGAGCGCTGAGGGAACATGTCGAGGGGTCGTATGAGATGACGGACTTTGTGTATTGATTTTGTCAGCAGCCCATTCTGTAAGTTGTACTGGCCTCGGTGAACAGTGGCCCACCCGAGGGATGACTGGTTGCTTGTTAGGCTTTTAGCGGGTAGTTGGGCTTGTTTCTATGTAGTATGAATATGTGATCAATGGTAAAAACATCCTTATATACCACTTTAAAGAGTAATTTAACATATGCACCACATTCTTCAACCATTTAAAATGTACGAAATAGTTTTGTAATCAATCTTCGAACTGTTACATTTTATTTCTCCAATGGGAACTTTTAAACTAGTCATAAATACTTGTTGAATTAAATGTACGTACACGTGGAGGAGAACTCTAAATTGTACAGTAGAACCGGACACGTGGTGGTGCATTGAATGTGTCCGCTCTCGAGCGCTGAGGGAACATGTCGAGGGGTCGTATGAGATGACGGACTTTGTGTATTGATTTTGTCAGCAGCCCATTCTGTAAGTTGTACTAGCCCCGGTGAACAGTGGCCCACCCGAGGGATGACTGGTTGCTTGTTAGGCTTTTAGCGGGTAGTTGGACTTGTTTCTATGTAGTATGAAACAAGCAACCAGTCATCCCTCGGGTGGGCCACTGTTCACCGAGGCCAGTACAACTTACAGAATGGGCTGCTGACAAAATCAATACACAAAGTCCGTCATCTCATACGACCCCTCGACATGTTCCCTCAGCGCTCGAGAGAGGACACATTCAATGCACCACCACGTGTCCGGTTCTACCGTACAATTTAGAGTTCTCCTCCACGTGTACCGTGTACGTACTTTTAATTCAACAAGTATTTATGACTAGTTTAAAAGTTCCCATTGGAGAAATAAAATGTAACAGTTCGAAGATTGATTACAAAACTATTTCGTACATTTTAAATGGTTGAAGAATGTGGTGCATATGTTAAATTACTCTTTAAAGTGGTATATAAGGATGTTTTTACTTGGACTGTAATTTGCTGGTCTAGTCTGGCCTGATCTGATCTGGTAATGTCTGGTCTCTTTGTAATTTTATAATTATCCAAGTCTGATCTGGTTTGGTCTGATTTGGTCTAGTCTGGGACAGATTACAGTCTAATAAAAACATCCTAAGACACATATTATATGTCATATTTTTGAACTATGAAACGTTTAAAACACGTCTGTGTCATTTTCCGTTTCACGAACGAATGAAACCTATATATTTTATATAATTGTATGGTATTATACACAAACGTACGTATTATTATATTATTATACTACCTCCGTCCCTTAAAACTTTGTCAAAATTGACCGGCATGGAGAATAACAAAGTGAAAACTATGTGGTTGAGATTTGTGCAGAGGAGAGAGAAATAGCTGAAACCACAAAATCATTGATTAAAAGGGAAAGTGACAAAGTTTTTTGGGATCTCCCAAAAAGAAAATATGACAAAGTTTTAAGGGAGGGAGGGAGTATTATTCAAGAAAAGTATAATACTAACAAAAAAAAGTAGGCCTGGGACCGGTTCGGTTCCTAGGCCAAATATGTGGAACCGTTTGAAAATATGAAATTTTACTAACGGTTCGGTTCTTATAAATTATTTTATAGAACCGATAAGGAACCGAACCGTTCTTAACGGTTCGGTTCTTGTCATTTAACGGTTCCTAGTCTTCGAAAAAATTCTTACAAATCATGACTAAATTTTTGCCAAAAAGACATTCTACGTTTGAAATTACGATACAAATATGCTTAAACAGTTAAAGAGAATAACAATTTTAAATACTTGGACCCTCAAAGTTCCGACCCACTGGAGTTTGGACCTAATGAGATGCCTAAGAAGCCTAAGAGAACCGGTTGAAGTGAATAATAGTTTTAAATAGTTGAATAACTAAACAAAAATAATGAATGTAATATAAAAATAAGTAAGTAAATATACATTAAAATATATGTGCTCATAAGAAATATATATAATTTTAATTATTATATATAACGGTTCCTTAACGGTTCCTAGTACATATTTTTTTCAGGAACCGAGAACCGAACCATTAATAAAAAATAGGAACCGAACCATTAAAAAATAATTAATAAATGTTGGAACCGAACCGAACCGGGTCATAACGGTTCGGTCCAGTTCGGTTCTCCGGTTCTTGGTTCCAAAGTCCCAGCCCTAAAAAAAAGAGAAAAGGGACAAATAAGCCCACGTACTAACAAAAAAAGGTCAAATAAGCCCTTATATAGGAGGCTCTGTCCGGCCGTCTTCATTTGGGACGGCTCCCGGTGGAATTTTATGATGAAATTTTTTGAGCATCTTATTCATTAAGTGTACTTTATTCATGCCAAATGTCAGCTAAAACTTCAATCGGAAGGCATCCAAATGAAATCTTGAAGATAACTGTTCAGTTAAAAGTGCAGTTATCTTCAAGAATTCATTTCAATGTCTTCCCGATTGAATTGTTAGCTGAAATTTAGTATGAGTAAACTAGACTTAATGAATAAGATGTTCAAAAAAATTCATCAAAAAAATCCACCGGGAACTGCCCCAAATAGCGACGGGCGGAAAGAACCTCTTATATAAGGGTTTATTTGACCTTTTTTTGTTAGCAAGTGGCTTATTTGCCCTTTCCCCAAAAAAAGAGCATCTGTTCAGTTATGCTGCGATGCAGTGCGTAGGGGTGCTTCGGTACGGTATACCTTATATTTTTTCTCATACCTTTGCCATACCAAAATTTTCGGTATGCAAAATTTGCATACCTTTACCTTACCGAAGTTTCGGTATACCGCATTCCGGTATACCGAAGTTTCGGTTCGGTAACGGTACGGTATCGGTTAATTACCGTGCATGTTTCCCCATAGAAAAAACTATCATAGACTAACGAAATACACTAAATCGTTATTACTAGCGACATATTAAATCTATTATTAACATGTTACGAAATACAATTAATAATCTATTGATGTCAATTCAATATTGAACAATAATTATTATTAGTATATTTAAGCAATTCAACATGCCACATAATAAAAAGTAACACATTCTCCTAAAAAACTTGAACAATATAGATATAATTAAATCAATAGTGATCTCTAACAAAAATAAATAAAACTATTCAAACAACATGGATATAAATCATTTATTCCTAGTATGATATTGTGTATTTAGTCATTTTTATAATTTTTTAAAAATTGAATAAGACTTTCGCACAAAGTTGTGTGTCTCGACTCACAGAATCCCTATGTTGATACATTTGTCACATAAGTGCATCTCTCTTCACTCGTCAACTACTTAGTAGCCCAACCATCACGACTTGCAAACTCTTGGAACAAGATGAACTTGTTTCTTGACATTTGTACATTACTCATTAGTCATTAAGGTTAGCGTAGTAGAAGCCTATAAGGTTATAGTGGGTTTGAAAAATGAAAAAAAAAAAAAAGTATTATAGTGGGTTTGAAAAATGAGACCTTTACTTTTGTATTCTTGTATTTGTAACCAACTTAAGTATTAATTTTAGGCTTCAAAATTGTAATGGATTTTTACAATATATTAGAATTAAAAGTAATTGTTGAGCAGGGAGTCGGTACGGTATTATACGGATATACCGTGGTATTTGAAAACATTTACCGTTACCCTGCCGAAAATGACGGTATACCAATATTTCGATATTTTCCGGTATTTTTCGGTATGGTAAGTGCGGTATAACGATTTTTGGGTATTTTTTCCTGTATTTTTCGGTACTGTATTTTGCCCACAGAAACTTTGGGACGCCATTTAGGCTCTATTTGCAACCCATTAAAAAAAGTGCTTTTAACTTTTTTTTAAAGAAAAAAGCACTTATTTTACCAAACACTGCCAACTTTTACTTTCTCGGCTTCCGTGTAGAATCTACTTTTTACTTTTTCTATTATATAAAAAGCACTTATTTTACCAAACATTACCAACTCTTTTGCTACTAATAGCTTTTTTCCCAAAAGTTGCAAACAAATTAACCTCCGACCTCGCTGAGACGCCGGAGAGGGCGAAGAAGGATCAGATTTGTGTTTCGAGAACTGGAAATGCCAAATTTCCACTCGAAAAAGCATCTCAGGTATTCCAACCTCAATGTTTTGCATACTTATTGCTCGGTTCCTTTTCGCGATGTCCCTAAACCCTCCCCATACCCATTCCAAGCTACCCCTTCTTCAATCTGTGATTTTGATTTAGATATACTCTCGTATAAGACTTATTTAGGCAAATCTTCATCTCGAACGCCTTCAAAGAGCAATGTTGACCTATTCGCTTACCCACAAATTCGTTCTTTTAGCTTCAGTTCTGACCCTTACCGCCTTTACAACAGCCAATCTGCCCTTCCACAGGCTGCCTGTAGGTTTTGTTGTTCAAGTTGTATAAATCCATCTAGATTCTTCTCTGCTCAGAATCTTTCGGAAACTATGGTCCATGACGAGAAGAGTGAGAGTAAAGCTATGGTGGTATCGGGGAGTGGAGAATCCAGAAGAAACGCCAATGAGATTAGCTTAGTTACACAAATAGTTGACATCATTAGGAGCGGTGGAGAAGATTTTAGGTCCAATTTGAGTTCAATGTCGTCTTCACTTGACTCTAAGCGAATTCTCATGAATACTTTTAAGGTTCTGAATCAACTTAGAATATCTGGATTGGATTTTTTCAGAACTCTTGTGGAGATGAAACCTAATTTGTATAGAAGTGGTGATGTCTGTAGCCTGATCATCAACAACTGTGGGTGGTTGGGTGATCAGGAAGCACTGTTATCTTTGCTGCAGGAGTTTAAACTGCAAAGTATCTGCCTCAATCAAATGGCATTTGAGTTTTTACCTCCATCTGAACAAGGTAAAGATGATCTGATGGAGTCTACTAGAAGAGTGATAGAAATGTTAAACAAAGTGGGTGGATCTTGTCTTCATTCCGGAGTTAATGCGTTAATCGAGAAGTTTTGTTTTTTGAATTCGTTCCAAATGGCTAAATTTGTGATGGAAACCACAGATAGGACAGTTCGTCGGTACAATATTTTGATCCGTGCAAGGTGTAAACGAGGTCAAATTGAAGAAGCACATGCCACCATTGAAGAAATGCTTGAACACGGTCATCTCCCCGAGACAAACACATTCAACTATCTGATTGGGTATTTGTGCAAGCGTGACAGGATGGATGAAGCGTGTCAATTGCTTAATAGAATGAAAGAAAAAGGGCCTCCTCCTGATTCAATAACGTTGGAAGCAATAATATATCACTCAGCCATTCGAGGCCGTTTGGATGTTGCTTTCCGGTATCTCGACTTGACTGTAAATCTGAATATTGTACCTCGGCCCACTACTCTTTCAGCGATTCTGAATGCGTTGTTCCGTGCAGAACAACACGAGAAAGCATATGAATATGTTAATGATATGACTGCCAAGTTTAAGACCTCAAGCAATACGCTTTACAACTTGCTTGCAAAGCTTCATTTGAAAAAGGGGGATCCTGTCATTGCCAAGAACATCTTAAATGAAATGGTCAAGAAGGGGTTAATGCCAAAATCCTCTACCCGTTTAATTTGTGAAGCAAGTGAGGAAGAGTGACATCGGAGTGACAGTAGCATGGGATTAGGTCCATATTTAAGGCCCATGTTGTGATACCTTTAGGGCTTGTTTGGCATGCAAAAAGCTAGCTCACATACTACATATGATTTCTTTTGTAGGTATGTATGTACTTATCAAATAAGCTTGTTTGGTTGGAGGAGCTTTTTTTAACTGGTGCTTCAATAGTTGTGTCTAGTTTTTAAAATTTGCTACATGTGCTTTTCCTTTATAATTTCATTTCAACCTCTTTCTGTTTTGGAAATTAAGTTCTAAACTCGTGCTTATTTCAAAAGTTTTATGTATGTAGGTTTGAATGTTTTCTTTTTATCATCATCATCATTACCCCAGTGCCGCAAAGGCTCCCACCTTCGGTGGGGTAAGGGAGGGTCAGGTGTACGCAGTCTTACCCCTATACTAAAGCACAGAGAGACTGTTTCCGGATGACCCATAGCGAAAATCGCGTCCAAAATTGCATGGACTGACTGCTGCTTCATAACAAAGAAGCGCAAACAGTTTAGTGAGCCATTTTGCTTTATTCCATCATATTCTCAAGCCAAAAAATAATGAATCTTTGACTCCATTGCAAATGATGGAAATTTTATGCCATATGAAAATTTCTTTTTATGCCATATGAAATTTTAAGATAGCTTTTCAACTGCTTTTGTATTGTTACTTTAGATTTAAAACTCTGTTTTTAAGTTGGGAATGTATTCTGCATATGTAATTTAGCTGTTCATGGTAGCAAAGTCCTTGTAGGTTTTGGAGTGCTCTGTCGGAGTCTGTGGGATCTCCTTGCATTTATGGCGTTTTAGTTTTTGTGCTTACATTTTATTTTTGTTACTTCCAAGATTGTTTAGTCAGTTATTTACGTAGCTTTTCTACTATTTTTGTTTACTTCTATGTTTGTGTGTTAACTTGCTTACCTTGTTTATTCTATCCCATGCTTTTGACATAGACACATAGTCCACATTATCTTTTACTACATTCCATTTATTAGCGTTTCATCTACAAAAGTTTCTCTACCCCATGAAATAGAGGTAAGGTTTTTGTAGATCTTAGCCTCCCCAAAGCTTATATCTAAGTGGGATATACTTTTTTTGATTCATTTGTTTGAGTTGGCTTAGTGGCATCATAAATAAATTAATGATATCTAGCCATCTAGGCGCATCTTTTTAGTAGCATTAAATTTACTTGAGTAACACTGAATTAGCACTGGATGAAATCATTAGAGCATTGGTCATTGGTATAATCGGTTGTCATGCAGATATGAGCACCAGCATACCCGAAGGAGCGTTGGTAGGGAGGGTTGGTTCCTGGACCGTTCGTTGTCCACCTAAGTTCATTGAGAAGCAATTTCTTATGTGTATGTGTACTATAAGTTATTTATTTATTTGTTTTGGACTGTTTTTTTACAGGTTGTTTTAGACTGTTGGATTCTCAGATATGCTTGATTTTTGGAGTTGATTGTAGCAGGTTCGATCAGATGGCTGAAAACTTACATTTCATTAGTCTTGGCTTGAAGACTAATGAATAACGTTATGTCGTTATTCATTAAGCTTTATGAATAAAGCTTATATAAGCTTTACCTTTTTATAACCGTTCACCACCCACACATATATTAGAAGTCTTGGTTTAGTAACAAGCTAATTCTAAATTTGCCTCACTTTTCTAAAGCACCCATAGGCCATAACATAGAGATCTGATCGACCAAGGAAAATGGGAACATCCAAAATTTATTTTATGTTCCTTTTGATAGTAACAATCTCCAATGTAAGATTTTTAATGGGAATAAGTTCTAAGTAGGGGTGCCCAATTCGGTTTACGGTTTGTTTTTCTTGGATTTTCTTCAGTTTCGGTTCGGTTTCGATTTATTCGGTGTGGGAGAATTTGTACCAAACTGAAACCATTTTTGTTTTGGTTTGGTTTCAGTTCGGTTTGAAGTTCGGTTCAAAGTGAAAATTATTATGTTCAATTTAGTTCGATTCGATTAGATTTCTTATGTTTATTACTCCGTATTTTATTTGATCAAATTCTATATTTTAGAATTAGAAAATGAAAGTAGTACTCATTTCAGCCTTTTCAGGTTAGATTCGTGTGTTGCAATGGACATAATTTTCTTAAGCATACTAAATAATTTGGATCTCTAATAATGCTAAGACGTTACTAATTACGTAGCACAATCTATAATGTGTTATTGTGAATCTCTCTAAAATTAGAAAGGAAAGAAAACTCAATGATTTCTCACACAAATTATTTTGTGCCAAATTGTAGGAGATTTTTTATTTTTATTTTTGTAAAAAGGCGGCTTATATTGATAAAGAAACATTCAGCAAGGGACAAAAGAGACAAAGGAAGCACTTCCAGCCACTGACCCTCGAATGAGCCTGAGAATCAATCACCCTAGACAGAGCAATGTGATTCGCTAATCCTATAACAGGTCTAGATGAGCCTATCGTGGCCAGAGCAAAACCCCATCACCCCAGCCTAATGTAAGAGTCTGACAAAACAGAAAAGTGACAACAAGCATAAAACCGTGCGAAGTAAAAAATAAAAACATAACAACAGTAACACTAAGGAAAGACAACTAAATCCGAATGAGCCCGTAACAGCTCCAATGACCTCTCATAGCAGCACAGAGCTTCAAGCATCCTGCGGGTTTCGAAAGCCAAACCCACCTCCTCCCCGTTTTTTGGGTCATCCAGGGCCATACGCTCCCCTTCACCTCCTCCCAAGTAGGCCTGGACTCGGGCCGGGCGGCCCGACCCGGAACCGGCCCGGCCACTGTAGCAACCGGCCCGGCCCGGTGGCCCGGTCCACCGGCGGTTCGGGTCGAACCGGCCCGGTGGTTCCCGGTTCCGGGCCCGGGCCTCCCATATGGTGAACCGGCCCGGCCGGTTCGGGCCCGGTCCGGGCCGGAAATAATTTTTTTTTTTATTTTTTTTTGAAAATTTTTTATGTTTTGGATTAGATTAGGTATTTTGGTCCATTTGAGGTGGTTTGGGGTGGTTTGGGGTTGAGAAAGAGGGGTAGGGGATTAAATAAAGAAGCCAAAAAAAAGAAAAAAAAAATAGGGCGGGTGGCCCGGCCCGGAACCGGCCCGGAACCGGCCACCCCCGGTTCGGGCTCGGTCCTCAATATTCTGAATCGAGGCCCGGCCGGGCCCAGGCCCGAGGCCCGAACCGGCCCGGTTCAGTCCAGCCCTACTCCCAAGTCCTCCTACGTTTGGATTCCCCAAGAACCCCCTCCTCAAAAGCATTGCTGCCTGATTCCACATAGTCTTTGCCGCTTTCAACCAGAGAAAGTGCCCACTCCCTCCTGCTTGATCCCACGATCCCATCTCCTTTTCGGATTTGGCCTTCCGGAACTAACCACTTGTTACCCCCAAAAGACTGAGAGGTCCCCCCTCCTGCTCGCAGACTAGCTCCATATTTCTTTGGAACCTCCAATTTGGTGTTCTCATAAACCAAAGGACAAAATCTGTCAGCATGCCCAATAATACCACAAACAAAGCAGAAACTAGGCAGTTTTTCATATTTAAAATCAACCCAGTGTCCCTCTCCTTGTCCCTTGCGGAGAGTCGTGCCCACCTTCAAAAGCTTCCCCACATCTAAACAAACTCGAACCCTCATGTAAGGCCTCCATTTTTTGTCAAACTGACTTTTATCAAAATTAATAAAAGTCCCAAGAAAATTCCCAATTCTCCGGGCCGCATCCAAATTCATATAATCATATGGAACATTATGCACCTGAACCCAAAATTCTGCCTCATTCAAAGAAACCCTAAGGGGAACATCCCCTGGCTTAAGCTCCGGGATTCGAACCTGAGACTTACACTCACCCCTTGTGGCACCCCCTATCTACCAGTTGAGTTACACCCACCGGTATCCCACATCATTTGATGATATAAATAAGGAGGGTCACAGGGTGCTAACTCATTATCTCGATAACTGTTTCGTTTTGTGGTATACTAGCTAGGGATGGTTACATTGTACTCTGTATTTATTAAGGTTCATATGAATTGGGCATAATAATGTACTCCATATTATATCCAGATTACTTTTTTATATAACCGTTCACAATCCACACACATATATTAGAATATTAGATGTCTTGATTTAGTAACTTAACAAGCTGATCCTAAAAAAATTTCACCTTTCCAATGTACACATAGCATTAGAGATCTAATCGACCAAGAGAAATGGGAACATCCAAAATTTATTTTATGTTCCTTTTGATAATAACAATCTCCAATATAAGATTTTCAATTGGAATAATCGATGAGGAAGACCCAGGCGTTTTGGATTATGTTCTAAAATTTTATCCGGATAAGCAACCACCTTGTAGTGAATGCAGGAAGCATGTTCTTGCACTCATACAGCAAGACGGTTATCATACAACAGCTATGACTCCTTCACCAATGTGTTGTTCACAACTTATTGAATGGGGATTCGAATGTTACGCTTTATGGGCAGCTAGTGATAATCGGCTGGATTACGGGCAATTTGGAGCTTCAGAGGAAGTATATGAGAACATTAGAAACATATGGGATCGTTGTCAATCTCATTAGGGATGATTAAGGATTTTCTTGATTCACCATGATCCATTACATTTGATTCGCTCCGAAATTTATTAATTAATACTCCCCTGTCTCACTAACAATGAGACAAGAAGGAGTGACACGCAAATCTATAAAAAGTGGTTTATGTGGTTGATAAAGTAAGAATAAAGTAATAATGATTTAGAGCCACACAAACTTTACCAAATAAGGTATGGGACAATCTTAGTGGGACGGACCGAAATGGTAAAATGAGACAATCTTAGCGGGACGGAGGTAGTACAAAACTTGCCCTCCAGTTTTGTTTTGTTCTTAAATTCAAACATTTAGAGTTATCCGACCTCAAACCCAATGCACAAAAACTATTCTTATTTTTCACATTAAGACTAATTTTTATTTGAACTAATACATACATGCATGCATACACACACACACACACATATATTGGGTGTGATTCCAATAACAACGGTGCTTAACGCGAGAATACTCACATTTAAATCAATGTGGTACACAGTGGATCGGAGCTCTTCTGTTGCACACTTTCAATTTGCTCGAATTAAACCTATATTAAATAAACACGACAGCATTTTGGTAAATTTTGTGAAAACAAGAAAAATTGCAATATACAAACTTCATTGTGCAAACATTGTGGTATATGTGGTGTTCTCACGTTCTCACGTTAAGTACTATTCTCATTTGATCTTTATTCAAATACGGTGAGAACACTCCTTAACGCGAGAAATGAGAATTCTCCAAAATGATGCACTTTACTGTTCATGAAAATGCACATTTGTAGTTAAAATAGTGCAAAATTCTAATGTGCATATTTATGTTTAAACTTTTGCACAGTTGAAATGCACAAAGTAATATAACTCAGAAAATTATGTTACATATAAAGTGAAGTATATCATAAAACTAGTATATTACTTTTATATCAAAAGTCAAAACAACAAAATTATAAATACACAACTTAAAATTTAAAATAATAAAAAACAAGCAAGAAGAGATCGGGGACTTGAGAATGGGCTACACTAGCACTCTGCGACTTCCCTATGCACTCTGCGACTGTGCGACTTTGTCTTCTTCGTCTGCTTCCTGTGATGTACTTGGCTTGGCTACGACTTGGGCAATTAGGCGTCCGTAAGGTAAAATACTGAATATCATGGGCTTAAAATCTGAAGCCTTAATTAAATTTGCTTCCTAAATCTATTTTCCTTTTTATTCTGGGTTCGGAAGTTCTGGACTTTTGGCCTAGTATCGTCGACTTGCAATTTAGGCGAGCCTTCCATCGCCAACACATCGACTTGGCGACGCCATACCCAACTGGTATTCTTCTGGCGAGGCGAGTGTAGCAGGCGAGCTTCCCCCAGCGCCTGGACGCCTAGTCGCCGACTAGGCGACACCGTGACAACCATGTGCACAACACCGAAATCCGATGCTCCAGAATCATTCCTATTTCTTCCCTAAGATGGTGTTCTCATATGATCCTTACTATATATGTGAGTGTGTGACTTGAACAATGTCCGGTGCACACCATTCACCTTCCTATTTCATCTTAGCATGTGTTTCAAATGCAAACATGTGTGTATGGGCTTCGTGAAATTTTGTATATCACGTATCTATTATCATGAATAAATTAAAATCCCACTAAAGCATTACACCCTTCCCTTGTCAATTTGCGCTTCCGGACCTTTTGTTTTCCATTTGATTTATTTGTATCTTCTTTAAATCCTGTCTTCGAGCAACACAAGTATCTATATTGTACCACCACAGACTTTTTAATTTTTTCCGCAAAGGATTTTTTCATACTAAATCCAACATGATGTACATACACTGTAGAAATTCTCACATTTAACCAAAGTTGAAAACACTTTGTAGAAATTCTCACATTTAACCAAAGTTGAAAACTCTAATCCCAATTTAGGTTTCAACTCTTCATGACATTCTGGAATCCATTCTTTGATGTGATATTTGACTTCCATATTTGATATTGGATCTCCCGTGATTCACTAGCCTCACAACCTATCAAGAATATATTTTGTTAATAAACTGAACAAATCAATATCTTAACTTGGTTATGTGAAAGAGATGTAATTCTTACAATACTCTCACTATTACAAAAGGGACATTTCACGTCGGTTATTTTACACATTTCACGTCGATTTTATAAGAGACATCTATGTGAGAGACGTTAAAAGTGGAGACATTTTATAAAACCGACGTTAAATAACACTTTTTACGACGGTTTTGATACATAACCGACGTGAAACATTGTTTTAAGAAAACTCTACTATGACAGTTTTTTCTCGATAACCGACGTGAAATATGCTCTTAGGAAACAATACTACGACCGTTTTTCTTGATAACCGTCGTTAAAAGCTTTCACCCAAACAAAAAAAAATGCGGTGGTTTTCAAAAAGAACAGATTTTACCTTCTTTTAAAAGTAATATAACTCAGAAATTTTTTATCTTCTTTTAAAATAAACTAGTATTAT